ACGCCTCTCAGATGTCACAATGACCCTGAGGGCGGGTGCTAATCTAACAGGAGTTTGACTCCTGTTGATTCATTGACTCCTCTGGCTCTCCCCCAGTTATATCAGCCGCACAAGCCCACAAGGGAAAACCAGAAAACAGAAAAAAGTAACAAAGTGCCAGGTCCTCTGTGGTCAGGCCTCCCTGTCACCTGAGTCAATGCAGACTCCGCTCCACTCTCCTGCCTAAGCTCTCCATCCCACTCATCACAGGAGATCAGACGTGAAATTACCTTGTTTGCTCATTTGTTTAACATGTTTATGGTCTAACCCCCCTCCCACCTCCACCGGATAAAACTCCATGGGAAAAGGAACTTGCTGTCTGTCACCTGGCACAAAGCAGGAGCTCAGTGAGTCTCTGATGAATGGATGATGATTGGCCTTTGCCCAGGTACCTATTAGAGTCTTTGTGCTTTTCTTGTTGATTTGGAAGAGCCTTTTATATATTAAGGTTTTCAATTCTTGGTGTGCGTATCTGTGGGAACCCTCCCTTCCCCTGGTTTACTGTTTGTATCTTATTCTGTGTGTGGTAAGAGTTGATGTGTATTTTAACCTCTTGAGGCTACATATATGGCAGCCACAAGCCCACAGTGAAGACTCCTGCTGAGGGGGCTGGGTGGGTTGCTATACCTGTCAGGGGCTAGTCCTATAGGAAACGGGGCATTCAGGCGTTCAGGGGCAGGAAGGCAATTCTGCTCGTAGCCCCATGACCCTGGTCCTCTTGCCTCCCCCTTCCTTCTCTCTCCTTTCCCCCCAGGTTGGTGAGGCCAGGGGAGATGGAACAGTGTTGCCTGGAGGCCTCTGCCCACCTCCCACCTTGTTGTGCTTCTGGGTGCTCACCCAGGGCCAGGGAAGACCAAGGAGGAAGGCCCGTGAAGGCTGAAGATGGAGGCCCCAAAGTGCAAGGTGCAGTCCGGGCATTTGTTTTCATGAAGAGAGGCCTCGCCTGTCACGCCCTGTACTGCAGCCTGTGCACCTGCACAGGGCCTGGCATATCACAGGGGCTCACGAAGTACCTGATGGATGGCTGGATGGGCAGGCAGATGAATGGATGTGTGTGTGCGTGGGTGGACAGACAGACAGATGGACAAGTGGACAGATGGATGGGTGAATGGATGGAGGATGGGCAGATGAATGGATGGATGGTGGCTGGGTGGATGGACAGGTGGATGGATGGACAAGTGGATGGATGGGTGGGTGGATGGGTAGACAGAGATAAATGGATGGATGAGTGGATGGATGGATGATGGGCAGATGAACAGATGGATGGATGGGTGGACAGATGAATGGACAGATGGATGGATGAATGGATGGTTGGGTGGGTGGATGGGTAGATGGACAGATAAATGGATGGGTGGATGAATGGATGGATGGTGGGTGGATGGATGGACAGGCAGACGGATGGACAAGTGGATGGATGGGTGGGTGGATGGAGAGATAAATGGATGGACAAGTGGATGGATGGGTGGGTGGATGGAGAGATAAATGGATGGACAAGTGGATGG